TCCCTTTGACTGTTTTTTTCCCTCCTGATGGGGATGTAAAAACAGCTTCGGGTCAGTTTTGGACTTTCGTTTTGCTTTTTTCCCATTTTTCGTATTGCCGTGAGCCTCCCTTCTTATCTGTGATATTCGTTTCTGGTTTTCGGCAAATCTCTTTTTTTCCCTGAGTTCTCTGTTTCTGTACCTTTTCTTTCTTTTGTACACCTAGTTTTTGCCCCCCACCCCTTTTGGGGTGAACCAAGGACTCTTCTGTTTTTCCCCATTATTTCTTTTTTCCCTTGGGAACAAACCTCTCCTATGCCTCCTTTCCATTTTTTTGGGCCAAAAAGTCCATATTTCTTGTACGGGTTTTCCCCCTGTCGGGTTCCCTCTCCCCCTGAATGTTTTGGGAAAGAATTTCCCTTCAAGCCTGAGTATTTCCCCCCTTTTTGTATTTTGGGTTTTCCCCCCCTTTTCCTGCTGCTCTCCCCCTTGGAGAAAAAACTATTTTTGTCGAAAGGCACAGCCCACATGTTAAATAGCTCCCGGGGGCCTTTCATACATGATTTTCCTCGTTGTCAAAAACTATCAAGGTAAATACAGGCCCCCAGTCTTGCGGGTTCTTCTCCCCCTCTCTCTATGGTAGGTCTTTTTAACATGTTGATGAGGGGGGTTTTCCAGTCCAAACCTTTATCTTGGTTTTCCATTTTTTGGGGGCCCCCCTTTGGGGCCCCCAGGTTTTCCCATTTCAATTTTTTTGTGTTTTGAAAAAACCCATAATTTAGAAATTTTTGCCCCCCCCCATGTGTTCTCCGGGGCCACCTCGGCTATTTGGTTTTCAAATATTGCTCTGTTGCTTCATCGTTTTCTTCTTTTGGGCCCTTTTCTGCAGTTCTGGGGGGGTTTTTGTAATTAAACTGCAATTATCACCTTATGTCCCTCGGACGGGATTTTTCCCTGCAAATTTAGGTCCCTTTCGCCCGTGCCATCCTTTCCCTTCCATTTTCTCAACCCCCCCCTTGTTTTTTAAATGGCAGTGCAACCTCCTTTCCCCCTCTCCTCCCTCTGTTTTTCCCTTTGGGAAATTTGTTTATCCGGGGTGGGAAAATTGAATCTGTTATTATTCTGGGTGGTTTTGTTTCTTTGAGTGCTATTATGTCTGGGGATGTCTCCTTTATTCTTTCTTTGCCACTCCCATACTTATTGTTATTCCTCTGCATTGTATACCACACTTTAAAACTTCTTTTCTAAGATGTTGGTCTGGGGGTGTATTGGGGTTGGGGAAGTGGGAGACCTGATAAGGAACTATGGGTGGTTGCTGTGGGGGTGGAGTTTTTTATGCAGTGGGTGGGGGCATTGGATGTGGCAGGGGTTTGTTTTGGTTTAGATTTGTTTTGGTTGCACTGGGGTTGCCTGGTTGGGAGGCTTCTATAGGAAGTTGTGAGGGAGGCTGTATTTGATTATATATATAAAATATATATTATATATATATATATCAAATACAGTCACCGTGGTTGTTTAATATTTTTTATAGATGGGGTTGTAAGAGAAGTAAATGCGAGGGTCTTGGCAAGAGGCGTGGATTTAAAAAGATAAAGAATCACACCAGGGTGGGAGTTGTCACAGCTGCTCTTTGTGATGACACTGTGCTCTTGGGAGATTCTGAAGAGAAGCTGCAGAGATTGGTGGATGAATTTGGTAGAGTGTGCAAAAGAAGAAAATTAAAGGTGAATACAGGAAAGAGTAAGGTTATGAGGATAAAAAAAAGATTAGGTGATAAAAGATTGAATTTTCAGATTGGAGGGAGGAGTATGGAGGAGGTGAACGTATTCAGAAATTTTGGGAGTGGACGTGTCAGCGGATGGGTCTATGAAGATGAGGTGAATCATAGAATTGATGAGGGAAAAAGGTGAGTGGTGCATTAGGAGTCTGTGGAGACAGAGAACTTTGTCCTTGGAGGCAAAGAGGGGAATGTTGAGATTTATGGGTTTACCAAACGCTTTTTATATGGGTGTGAAGCATGGGTGATGAATGTTGCAGCGAGGAGAAGGCGGGAGGCAGTGGAGATGTCATTGTCTGAGGGCAATGTGTGGTGTGAATATAATGCAGAGAATTCGTAGTTTGGAAGTTAGGAGGAGGTGGGGGGATTACCAAAACTGTTGTCCAGAGGGCTGAGGAAGGGTTGTTGAGGTGGTTCGGACAGTAGAGAGAATTTGGGGCGAAACAGAATAACTTTAAGAGGTATCTTGGGGTGGAAGGAAGGCGGGGGGGTCGGCCCGGAAGGGTTTTTGGGGGAGGGGGTAAAAGGGGGGTTTTGGGTGCGGGGCTTGGACTTCCCGCAGGAGGGGGGGCGTGTTTTTGGAGTTTAATTTGGGGCAATGGTTTTTTAAATACTTTGGGGCGTTGGAGTGTGGCAAAATTTAAATTTATGAAGGGGTTCAGGGGAAACCCGGGAGGCGGGAATTTTAGTCCCGAGATGGGAAGTACAGTGCCTGCACCCGAAGGGGGGTGTTTTAAAGGTTTCGTTTAAAAACTGTTGTGTAAAGCCCCTTTTGGCAAGACAGTGAAAGGGGGAAGGGTGGGGGGGTTTTCTTTTTGGGGGCCCCCTGCCCTTGGGGGGAATCGGCCGGGGGGTAAAAAAAAAAAAATTTTTTTTTTTTTTTTTAAATTTATATTTATTTATTTATATTTTTTTTAAAATTTTTATATATATATTATATATATATAATATATATAATATTATTATTATATATAATGTATGTATAAAACCCCTGATCTCTGGGTGAAGGAGACTTTAAACCTTTTCGAACCTTAGGACAAGGTACGCGTGCTTTACCAATTTTACCCACACTTTATAAATACCTTGGCGGAGCTTGGCCTACAACCCTTTGATCCAAAAACCCGCCAGCCCCCCTTTCCCCCGGAAAAAAGGCTTACAGCTTTTCATCTCATCCCCTGCATTCATCAGCCCCTTTCTAAGATTTGAACAATGCAAGGAATTCGCAGAAAGGCGAAATTACACAAACATGATCTCTGCTGAAGGGGGACTCGAACCACGAACCTTAGGGGCAAAAGGGGGGGCGTGCTTTAAAAAATCTTCCCCCACTGGACAAAAACCTTTTCGTGTAGCCTTGCGCTACACGTTTGATCCAAGGCAGCCAGCTTTTAGGGGGAAAAGGGTTTCAGCTTTTTTACCCCTCCCCCTTTCTTTCATCACCCTTTCTAGAGATTTGAAAAATGCAAAGGGAAACACGAAACAGGCGTGCTGCGTGCGTGCGTTTCGTGCGTGCGTGCGGGGCGTGCCCTGCGTGGGGTGCGTGCGTGTGGGGTGTGGGGTGTTAAAATATTTAAATATATATAATATATATATTAATTTAAAAATATAAATATATATAATATATATATTTAAAATTTTATATTTAAAATTATTTATATTATATATATATTTATAAAATATATTTAATATTATAAATACAAGTATAAATTGAAAATATATTTTATTTATTTAAATATATATATATTTTATTATATAATATTTATTATAAAATATAATTTTTTTAAAAATTTTTGTTTGTGTATGCATGGGTCTATTTATGCTGTGCATATGGTTTTCTTTCATGTCCCCGTAAGTTCACTTTTGCATTTTTGTGTGGGGTAAATTTTTATTATAAGTATGTATGTGTAAATAATTTATTTTATATATAAAGAGGGATATATGTGCTGGTAAACCCCTATGCTGCTGCCTGTGTTTTTACAGTGTGATTTAAATTTTTTAACCCCATATTTTCAAAAGCCCAAAGTTTCAATTTATACCTGAAATTTAGAAGTCAAAACTCAGTACAAAATCTCTTGTAAATCAATTTTGGGAATGAAACTCTTTAAAATTAAGCAGTGTTTCCCGGGACACCCGATTAAAAAAGTTTAAAAATGATTTTCTTAAAATGGGTTTTAAGGTTATAAAAAAAAAACCCTTAGATGGTATAACAGACAGCACTGGTATCACACCATGCTATGTTTAAAGATTTACTCAACCCAAGAAATTTTAAAATGCAAGCTTTCAATATTTTTCAATTTTCTGTGTGCAGTTGTATTAGTTTTGTAATTCTGTACAATCCTATAAGAAAATTATTTTGTGCTTTATAAGATAGCCCAATTTGATCAAAATTCCAATAATTCTGAAAAGTTTAACCAAAAAAATTATTGCATTAACAAGTTTGCTCACACAAACAAAACTGAATGGGTACTCTCATGGCCATAAGATGCATCAGCCATTAATATTGAAATCATTCAGAAGTAGATACACATTTTGATAATGATTAAATGGGAGTTTAAATTTCACAGTTATAATTATAAAATGGTTTAATCTGCACCTACACATTTGAATCTGTCAGCCATTATCAAATTAGAATGCATTTTTTTTTTTTTTTTAAACATTTGAAACCATGCCACTCAAGGTTTTGGAAGTTATCTGAGCCATTCTAGGATGCTGAGAATGGGTTCATAACTTTGGAATAAGTCACCTGCACATATCAGGTGTTCCTAGAATTTAGTCCTGATTACCCTATACAAGTTTAAAGGTTGAATCCAATCAGATGAGGAGTTCTCGAATTATGAGCAAAAGAAAATTGAAGGTGGAGGAAGAAAAAAAAATCAGGCAACCACTTAAAGGTCCTCCCTTCAGGAATACCTAGGAAAAGGCCCAAAAATTTTATAATGGCTTAACTGATGATGAATCAGTAACATACATATGTACTTGAAAATAAATCAAACAACTCTGCCAGAATATTATCGTATACAAATTTGGCAATGCTGAAAGTTACAAAGGACTGCAACATATTTAACGCAAACTAATCTATATGTATGTCTCTCACCAGCTTCCATCAGTATGTCACTAGCCCCGGTGGCCTGGTGGCTAAAGCTCTCGCTTCACACACGGAGGGCCCAGGTTCAATTCCCGGCGGGGTGGAAACATTTTGACGTGTTTCCGTACACCTGTTGTCATGTTCACCTAGCAGCAAATAGGTACCCAAGTGTTAGTCGACTGGTGTGGGTTGCATCCTGGGGGACAAGCTTGAGGACCCCAATGGAAATAAGTTACAGTCCTCGATGATGCACTGACTTTCTTGGGTTATCCTGGTGGCTAACCCTCCAGGGTTAAAAATCCAAAGAAAATCTTATCTCCAACTTTTTAAGTCATAGCCTAATTTCAATTTGGGTGACGTACCATGTTATCACTGATCAGTTACGGTATAAACCAAGATAGCTTTTTTTAACAAATGATAACTCCTGTACTATTTTATACTTTTAGTTACCTTATCAGTCTTCCCCCCCCTCCCTCCTTTTTCTTTGGTACTAATCTAGATTTCATTATTTTATAGAGTTACTGCTTTATTTTGACTATATTATTCTTTGTATTTGTATTAAAATCATCTGATAAACCCTTGATAAGTAGTTTAGTCCTATGGTTCTCTGTGAATCTGCCCAAGATACTGTGCATAATTATGAGCTTTTAAAACTGATGCACAAAGAAGCTGCTAGCTCAGCCTTGAAATACACTGACAATAGTTTATTTACATTATAATTTTTTTTTTTTATTTTAAAGCATTAATCTGTAGTGGAGAAAAATAATTCGATATAATAATAATAATAATAATTTATTTCAAGACATTTTATAAAGCTAAATACATACAGTATAAAACTGCAATTTGAAAGCCCATAGTTTGCACTGCATTTTGGTAAACTAAGAACTAGGACTAAGACTACTGTACTTAACATTAAATGATTATATACATGATTGTGAAGTTTTTAATGCTTATGAGACTGTTACAAATTATAAACAGGAATTTAGAAATATTATCTGCTAAAAAAATTAAAATTGTAGTATAGTTGACAAGTTGTTAAAGGTTGGATGGTATTTTATGAAACTAAATATAAATTAAAGATTGTTCAGTGCAATTAAAATTTTAGTTGACAAATTAAAAACAGTGGTATGGTAGTTTTTAAAATGAAGAGGCCTCTTTACATTTTGTTTTAAAATGAATATTTTTTTCTTCAGATGGAAGCTCTAAAACAGCATAATAAGCTTTGGTCAATAGAGGCAATGGTTCTTCATGACTATCTTGAAGTTCCTGTAAGTCGAGCAGTTTATGAGGCTGTTACTGGGGCAGCTCTTTCTCCACAGTCTCCAACAACGCACTTCAATGGCTCAGACAGGTATAGTGTTTAGTGGTATGTTTAGGAACTTGTTGATAGATTGTGAAGAGAATAAACAAACGTGCAAAGAAGTGGCATAGGCAAGGATAAAGAACAAATCTGCAATATATAGGCAATAGCAATTGCACAATTGTTAATAATCGAGTTCTATGAGGACTTTACAGGTAGAAGGAATTGTTTGGTCAAGTTATTGAGTATGCTTCAAATAAAAATTAACTTGTGATTCTCATCGAGAATACTGCTTACGTAATTTGTAACATACCATATATACTGTACTCTTATGTAGCATGTTAAACTGGATGATTGTTGCACTTGATATTGCAAGTGTTTTTTGATAATATGCAGGATAGTTATTTATTGCTATAATACATCTGTATAGGTTCATATATTCACAATTATAGTCTTTCACAAAATACTTATGATGCAAAACTTATAACTAGTCTCTGAACAATATTTCTTAACAATATTTTTTACCTTTAGTAATTTCTTCACAAGATCTGTTTAATTTTTTCATGGTAGTGTACATCCCCTTACCTTGCTCTTTGTCCATCATTGTGTCTTTTATCACTCTATCTTGTAACATTAGGAAATTACTGTAACTAGAGACTTCTTATTTCAATGTGGGATTATGAGAGTGAGTGAGAAAGTTGTGCTTGTGTGTGCTCATCTGTATATGGTTGGGTCTAAGCTCCAGGCCTTGCCTCTTCATTGATCACTACTAAGTTCACTTTCTCCTAGCTTGGAAAACCCTGTTGTACCTCTTCTTAAAGCTATGTATAGATCCTCCTCTACCACTTACCTCTTCAGGTTGTTCCAGTTCCTGACTGCTCTGAGGCTGAACAAATTTTTCTTACTGTCCCTGTGACTTGTCTGAGTTTTCAACTTCCAGCTATATGTCCTTGTGTTCTTGTTTCCCATCTCTCAAACAATCTGTCCCTATTCATCTTATAAAATTCTTTTCAGTATTTTGCACATTGTTATATCACCCCTTGTCTTTCTGTCCTTCATTGAGATCAGGCTTAACTTCTCCGTATAGGACATGCTCTGGGACTAGTCTCATTGGTAAACTATGCAATTTCTCCAATTTCTTGACATTCTTGACCAAGTGTGGGCTCCATACTGATGCTACATACTCCAGTATGGGCCTTATGTACATGGTACAATGTCATGAATGACTCCTTACTTAGATATCTAAAAGCTAGCCTTATATTTTCTAGATGTTCATTTGCTGCAGCAGTTATTTGGTTGATGTGTGCCTTGGGCAATATGCTCAATACAATATTTACTCTCAAGATCCTTCACCTTCAGTGAGGCTTTCAGCCTCCCCATACCCCCTGAGCCTGTACTCTGCCTGCAGTCTTCTTTGCCCTTCCCCAGATTTCATAACTTTGCACTTGTCAGACCATACCTGCAGCCTGTCCAGATACATTTGTAGCTTTTCCTGTCCATGTCTGCTTGTATTCTCTTCATTTTTTTATGTTGTACATCATATGTGAATAGGGTTACCTCTGATACTCTTCCTTCTGTCATATTCATATATACAAATTGCACTGGCCCTTTTGTGTGTTTACTCACTCAATATGTTATTGCAGGGGTTAAGTCACAGCTCCTGGCTCCTATTTGTGTGTGTGCATACATATGTACTCGCCTATAATTTTTTGCAAGGGTTGCATCTCAGATTGACCCCTGCAAGCACATGTAGGTGCACATGCATGTACATATATAATACACATGTTGCATTATATATCTGTTACATTATACATACATTTTTCTCCATGGGGAGGTGGAACAGATTTCTTCCTTCGTAAGCCATGCATGTCGTAAGAGGTGACTAAAATGCTGGGAGCAAGGGACTAGTAACCTCTTTTCCTGTATAAATTATTAAATTTAAAAAGAGAATCTTTCGGTTTTCTTTTTGGGCCATCCTGCCTCAGTGGGATATGGCCAGTTTGTTAGAAAGAACATGCATTGCATTATACTTCTTGCAACAAACTGGCTGTATCCCACCAAGGCAGGGTGGCCCAAAAGGAAAAAGGAAAATTTCTCCTTTAAAATTTAGTAATATATACAGGCTCATGGAGGAAGAATTCTGTTCTACTTGCCCATGGAGATAAGAGGAAATAAACAAGAACAAGAACTAGTAAGAAAATAGAAGAAAACCCAGAGGGGAATGTGTATATATATGCTTGTCTATGCATGTGCAGTGTTACCTAAGTGTAAGTAGAAGTAGCAAGACGTACCTGAAATCTTGCATGCTTATGAGACAGAAAAAAGACACCAGCAATCCTACCATTTCGTAAAACAATTACAGGCTTCCATTTCGCACTTGGCAGGACGGTAGTACCTCCTTGGGCGGTTGCTGTCTACCAACCTACTACCTAGGATTTCATTATACATACATCTTTATTTCAGTAGTATGTCTTCCATTTTGTCAAATGATACCAAGAAACAGCCAATGAAACCATAAAAACCATTCTCGAAAATGCCTGTTATAAAAAACACAAAGTCAGAGTTTTGCTTTTCTTAACATGCACTGTGTGAGGTAGGGTTTTTTATACTACTGTGCACACTTGCTACACAGACCCATTCTCTCATGTCTAGGCTAAAATTTATCATTCTCAGCTTATGCTACTCCCCCATGTTCTCATTTCTTGAACAATCTTTCCCTACCCACCCTATCAGGTCTTTAAAAATTCTTTTACGTCATAACTTAGTGACGGAGTTGCGTTCCTAAGACCACATCGGCAAATGAATTCATCGTTAAATAAGGAGCATGCTATAATGGTAGTGGGTTTGTGTCGACCATCTTTGATATTGTTTTAATGTCACCTTTGCACCATTTATAGCATTTTTAGTATATTTTTAAATGTTTATACAGTAGTGTACTGTATATTGTAATAAACAGAATGGAGAAAATCAGCTCTAACATACATTATTTAGGTACGCATACTGGTCAGAGAGCCCGTTGTAAGTCCAAGTACGTCGCTAAGTGAGGAGAGGCTGTAATTATCTTTTCCCTTGTTTTATTATCTGTATCATGTCATATTCTTAGTGTATCTTAAGGTTAGAAAACATAAGGGTGTTATAGGTACAATATAGTAGTCATGGTAAGCTTAAAGACTAGGTGTTTAGTAAAGCAAAATTCTATTTTGCAGAAGTTCTGATACCAGTAGCTCACCTAGTAGCACTCCAAAGGTGAGTCGTTCACCATCAACATCCAGTGGTCTGCACGATTGTTCTGAAACCAGTCCGAATGACTTCCTCTCCAAAATAGACTCTAACATCGCTCTCATGAAGTCAAGTATTGAGAGAATGGAGACCCATGCATAGTAAGTTTGGGAACCCTAACATAGAAAAGAATCATATCTTGGGCATGAACCTGTATCCATTATTACTGTATGTTTATGTACACATTTTTTTTCCAACACTGAAGATAGAATAGCCACTAAGGTAATTTGTGATTATTTTATCTTCTTTTAAATGGAGATGATGGTTTAAAATATATTTTCTTCAGCTTTATATGTTCTGCATAAACATTACATGAAAATGCGCCTTCAGGTGGATGATGTCCCATGGGTGATTATATATTTTCCTTGCATATATTTTTATGCAGAGAAGATACCATTCTTAGTGATGCCTTGCATGTTAGTAATTTCTGGTAATGGGAATGATATTATAATTAGATAGGACATTATTTTTGTGTATAGATCCTAAATATAGAGTATGCATATTTTAGATATTGTAATATAGAATCCATAGGTGCCATAGAATTGAGTACTGCACCATAAATCAGAAAAGTTTATTTTATAGGCTGTGCAGATAGTACTATGGGGTTAATGCTTTCATCTTAAATATAAATGACATAGGGTTAATATACATGTTTAGAATATATACTGTTTATTTCAGTGTTATATAGCAATGGTCAGTATATTTAATATTAAACAAATACTCTTACTTTTGCTCATGGCCTATAAAGGGGCTCCCAGGAGAAATATAGTGTAAGGATACATGGGAAATTTGATTGAAAACATTTGGAATTCTATAATGCATACTGTTTTCCACACTCGGTATCACTTTCCCTTGAAAGTTTTATGGCTTAGTTTCCATGATCCCCAGTTAACTAATGATCCTTGTGTTATTCTCACTATCAGTAGAAATTGCTTTATCAGTGTTCTTCAGAGTGGTATGTGCTGATTGCTCTTTATAATACTTCACCATTAGATTAAATTAATACAAGAAGTACAATGATTGCTATGTAATAGGGTCTTTGTCTTTCTTAAGAAACCTCTACAATACTTTTTATTGATCAGAATAAGCTTTATTAACCCTTTGACTGTCGCAAACCCCTTTCTGAAACTGTCATTCTATGTCTCAAAATTTTTGGAAAAAAAAAATTATTTTTTCTTATGAAGTGATACTCTTTTCCCGATGGTAATGACACCAAAAGTACGAAATTTGGTCGAGAACTCAAGGAATTATGGTCCTACGAAGTTAGCGGTCTTGGCAACATATACGCATGCCGTTGTTCCAGTTGACCAAATGCATAGCTATTTCTTTAAAACTCCATTTTTTCTATCAATTGAGTACAAGAAACTGCCCATTTAACGATTTCAACTACCCAATAAAGTGGTCAGAAATTGGCAATTTGGCCAATTTCAAAATAGGGTCCAGAATAAACAACGTGGACATTCTTGACACTAAAATAACATATCCTCTGTTCATTAGCACGTTTCTAGGCCCCTCTTATATTACTATTGCTTTCTATTTTGATTTTTTATTCATACAAAAAATAGAAGATTTACTGTTATGCAGACTACTGCATTATTGTAAAAATGGTATAAATAACATCAGTGCACTAGTGAAAGAATATTCGACTCCCCAGTTGACATGTATTGGACGTGTGGTGTGATTTGCTTACCATACCCCGGCCGGGATTGAACCCACGGTCAGAGAGTCTCAAAACTCCAGACCGTCGCGTTAGCCACTAGACCAGCTAGCCACAATAAGATTCGTCCAACTAGGTATATTTCTACACCATAGGAAGGTTAGCACAGGCACCACTGTGACCACAAATGCAAGTTTTTACAGATGAATCTCCAGCTAGCATGGCCGTGACGAACTCTAGCTCAAGTCCCCTCACTGCCATCAACATGACTCACGAAATCGTAATGACACGATTGCAAACAAACCATACCCCGGCCGGGATTGAACCCGCGGTCAGAGAGTCTCAAAACTCCAGACCGTCGTGTTAGCCACTAGACCGCGGGTTCAATCCCGGCCGGGGTATGGTTTGTTTGCAATCGTGTCATTACGATTTCGTGAGTCATGTTGATGGCAGTGAGGGGACTTGAGCTAGAGTTTGTCACGGCCACGCTAGCTGGAGATTCGTCTGTAAAAACTTGCATTTGTGGTCACAGTGGTGCCTGTGCTAACCTTCCTATGGTGTAGAAATATACCTAGTTGGACGAATCTTATTGTAGCTAGCTGGTCTAGTGGCTAACGTGACGGTCTGGAGTTTTGAGACTCTCTGACCGCGGGTTCAATCCCGGCCGGGGTATAGTTTGTTTGCAATCGTGTCATTACGATTTCATGAGTCGTGATTTGCTTACTCTTGAACATTGGTAAAAATCGAACACTTCTGCTACTTTGAGCTCATTTTCAAAGTCGTTTTCATTGTGAAACTAATCAAAATCATCTATATATCTGTAATATGTTTCCCATTTTATCACATGAGACAATGAAAAGGAGAATACAACGATAAATACTATACGAAAATACACCTGAAACTCTGCATTTTGTTACAAAACAACGGTCGGAAATTTTTTTTTTCTCATTATACACTGTGTGCTGCAGGATTTTTTTTATATGGTGTACACTGACCACACAGACCCATCTCTCACATGTTGGCCTACCAGCTTTCTCCTGCTTAATTTGAAGCCGCTAGAATTATTGAGTATATATACGTCCGAAACACTGGCTCGTAAGACGTATATATATGTCCAAAACAGTCAGAGGGTTAATTAGTGTGTACATACACTTATGTACTTCAATGCTAAAAAGATCATAAAATATGCAGACAGAATTAGAGAATTCATATAATATTAGGTAATAATTTTCATTTACAAGTGTCAATGAATTTAACAGGTTACCATCATATTAGTCAGAAAGAAGCTTTACTTATCATTGATATATACAGTCTGTTACCTGCTTTGTGTACATAAGATGGACCAGTAAAGTTATTTATCTCCACACACTCTAGATTGTAAATTTACCGTTAACAACACGGATAACTCTTACCTGAAATTCAATATAGGGAAAAAAAATTTTGATGTAAAAATGTATTGCTTTTATAGTATTCAAAACATAGATGAACTTGTATTCATATTTCTAATTTTTCCTACTACGACAAGCACTGATTTTGTTTTTTTAAATAATTAAGTCTAATGCAGAAGACAGAACCGTTCAATTAAGGGCAGAGGACAGTGAATCGTTCAGTTATTGTAAATTTACACACTTGAATTATTCAGTCATTATGTATGTTAGTTGAAAGCCTGACTGGTTTTGATTTTAATGAGGATCATGATAATTTTTTAATTAAATTTTAAGTTCATATTCTTGCATGCCATTTCTTTTAGTCAGTAATAGTTTAAGATATTTTACCACAAGTTAATATGGTATGAAAAGTTAGCCATAATATGAGTTAGGTATAATGAGTGTATTTGATTTCTGTTGCATATTCAGTATCACTGTTGTCTTCATTCCAAATGCTGGACCTCATCAATGCTTATCTCTTGTTTATAAAAGCTTAATGTCACTTGAAACCTAGAATCTGACTTGTAGGAAAAATACGAAATCTGTACTGGATAAAGGTAGTATTTTTTTAGTCATTGCTTGTTAATGCTTATAGTAATTACTTATAACTGCTGTAGAATTGTTTATGCTTTAGTAGCAGTACACATTTAAATTTGAGTAGTTTTGACCATTTGAAAGTAGGATGGAATTCACCCCAAAAAATACAGTGAGAAACACAAGGGTTAGGTCCTTTATAAAATTGGATAACTATTTCTTTCATTAAAAGAAATTTCCACAAATGTTTGTACATTTTTGTAAATTTAATAATGCAGCTAGCATTGATGGGATACTTAACAAAACTAACAGTATGTTTTATGATAATAGGAAGAGGCAGGGTTAATATTGGTGCTAAACTTAGATACTACCAGTGTATTGTAACAGTAGTGGGTAGTAGTCTTTAAACTTAAAAAGTTATTTTAGTATTCTTTAGCTTTATAAAAAGTATTTTATTTTCACACGTACAAACAATAAGGTTAACAGCATAAATATTGAACATGTAAAAAGAGCACCACATTGGGTAGCTAATCCACTTTCAAACACAAATGTTTAGCTAAACATTTTCTCAAGTTTGTTTAGCAAATCTTTGTCCATAAGGCTGAATCTCTACCCCTCTGTTTTTTTTATTTACACCATCTCCTGTTTCTTTTTGAACACTTCTCCTCGAGTGATTATTCAGATTCTCGAAGAGGTCTATCACAACCGATAAACTAGTAAAGTTTCCACTTGGCTCTTTCGTGTGTTCGTTGATTTACCCACAGCTTATATTTTGCCAGGGGTCCACATGAATCCTTTTCCTCAATCTGGCACTTTCACAAGTGTGTGAAATCTCAGTTTAAATATACTGTACTCCCTCAGTATCTGCTCATTTTGCATTCTGCAAATTTAACATTCAGTAAGTCTCAGATTCATAGTTTTGTTTTTAGTCTTATTGTATGTTGTTGTCTGTGAGATCAGTACAGTATTACGGTGTTATCCACAAATCTTACTCCAGGATCTGCGGCTCCTTTACACTTCATCTTCTTGGATACATAAAATGTTATTCGTCCGATGACCCATTTGTATTACAATGTGTCCATCAGTGACTGATAGTGTACAGTTAAACCTCAGTTAACGATCAAAATAAGGATCAGGGTTTTTTATATTGAGCAAATCCCATGTTCTAAGCACTTAAGTTATAACTAGAGATACAGTCCAGGACAATAAAACTCTATAAACAATTTCATTTATTTTGATTTTAACAAAATTATAAACTATATTAATCATAGATGGGTCCCCTTCCCCTCACTTTCCTCTCTCTTCCCCCAGTCCCTTTCTTGTATTATATCCAACCCAACACTTTTTATGTACTCCCCTCTCATAAGGGAGGCAGTCAGCAGTGTTACTAGTGGTAATAGTCATCACTAACAACCACAACATGTTACCACACATTCATCCACTCACATCAGCCAGCTTATACCTAAGTAAAGTACCTATTTAC